GCATGTCAAGACTATGGAACTGTTTGCTGTGTTAACAGCGAGAGCTCAGCCTTTGGATAAGGAACCCCCTGAGCAGGCGCAGATATCAATGAATGCTGCTCCCTGCCTGTAAGCCTAGGAGTGCCGTCTCTTTGTTCAAGAATCCGATAAAGGTGCGATAACACCAAGGGTCTGCAAATTCCTCCCCTCAGACCCCCACCTGAAGCTGCCCCTCCCCATCTGAGTAAGGAGGGACATGTAAAACCTCAAAGGAATCACGCACCCCTTGCATGGACACTGCGAGGGTATATAAGCTGTAAGAAATCTAACTAAGGGGAGATCGTGCTTTGGGTCTGTTGAAGGCCCCACGCTCTCCGCCGGCATTAAATTCTCTTTCCTCTAACAAAGTTGTCCGAGTGTCTGAATTCCTCCATTGGGTGTCGTCTGAATTCCTTCATTGGGTGTCGTTTCCTGCAACATTATGAAAAGGGGCCAAAGTAATCTGTGAACTGATCAGGTTATTAAAAAAATGTCATCTAGCCAATTATGAGATAAAATTATATAATTTTATGTAAATTTGAAGTTACCTAAAAGGATGTGTACCTGCGTGTGTACCTGAAGTTTTTTTTGTTATTGCTAAATTACAAAATGTTACTTTTTGGAGAATTAGAATAGATTTCAGAGCAATTGGTAGTAATTAAGGAAATGACCTTGTAAAAGTAAGAGAACAAAATAAAACAAATATACAGATATGAGCCATGACAGATGTTGCAGAATAGAGAGTAGATGTGAAAACAATAAGCAACATTGTCATTTACGCAGCCCTGGCAACACGTGTCACAGATTAAATAATGAATGCCAGTTGGTGGGCACAGTGGGGAGGGAACAGAGAGCGCCTTGTTTCAGTTTGTCTAATTTCAAACTAATTGCTTAAGTACAGGCTTCTGTTCTGGTTATAGCCAAAGGAAAATTAAACAGTTGAAATATTGTAAACCTTATAATTCACCCTGAATCACCAATCAGAACTAAATAAAAGAGCTTTAAGCAAAGAATTCAAATGACTTGTTGCCTTGCCTACAAATGGAAGCCTGATGAGAAGCAGAATTCACTAGTTAGGGTCTTCACTCACTGTCCCTTCCTCTCCTGATCAAGTTCTAGCTCATGTGATATAAGGGACTGGCGGCTCTTCATTGCACTCTTCTGACTATGGCGCCATTGTGTGGGGTGGCAGATGCCATGGTCCACCCCCCAGGACTGGCATAGTGCTCAGGCCCCAGTTACTGGTGTCTTTTTAGGCTGTGGCTTCTCCGAGGTCTCAAGCAGGTTGGCGCCCACCTTTTCCTGCTTTGGGTCTTTGTGATGAACTAATGAGCTGATCCATGTGAAAGCACTTTGTTGACACAAATGAAGAGGTTAGTATTTTTACTGTTTTAGGATATGGAGTTGGTAGAGGAAAGAACATAAGTCAGAAGTCCTGGGTCATTTCATTGTGGGTCATTTCATCCTAGGTCCCTCCTTTTCTGAATGCATTTTTGAAAATGTCTTCCTGTGGATTTTTCTCCTCCCCCTTAAATAAGATGTTCTTTACATTTTGTGTGTGTGCCATGGGACACCTTTGGCATTCTGGTAAAGCTAATGAATCCCTCTTTGGAATAATGTTTAATGCGTAAATTTAAATGCATAAAGTTAGAATGCAAAGGAAACCAATTATACTGATAGACATATCCATATACCAAAAATTATGCTGTTCTATACATCCATCCTTTATTAATGCATTATGTATCAAGAGCTAGTGGCGGGTCTCATAACTACTGTAATTTTCAAGCAGTAATGAGTATAAATGATACTTTGAGATATTTTCAATAACTGTAATGTGATATGAAGATACCTTTAATTTCTATTTGTGACAAGTTACAGGTCTGGCTAATATTACTGTGGATTGTTGCCTACATTAGCAATTGAAGAAAAGGCTAAATTTAAAGTAAAAATTAAAATAAAAATTTTCCCCATCCATGTCTTGAATTCGTTCTGAGGTCCCCAGAAACCCCTTGCTTTAAACTTTACCCTTTCCTCTTCTGCTTTGTGCTCTCCAGGGGCGGTCGCCCTTTGTGTGCACTGACTCTAGATGTGCACCTCCAGTCCAGGCAGGGGACTGGAGCGCCAGACCTGTATGTATCTTCCGCCACCAGCTGCATATGTTCCCTGGAATGGCTCACAGGACCTCACACACAGCCTCCAACGCCAGCTCCTTGACTTGGCCATCCCACCCTACTCTTCCTACCAGCATTCTCTTCCATCTGTGTTTCCGGCTCTGGATGGCATTAACAACATCTGCATGGCTCAGGCCCCCAACTCAGCTTGAGCAAGGGAGCTAGTGAGTACTGATGTCCCAGCCTCCTGGATAAAGATCGTGTATGTAAAGCACTGGTCCGCCACTTACCTGGAATGTCTTCTAAATTTCTGCTCACCTTATGAAGACTAGTTCCTTCTTACTAATCTTTCCAACATGCGCATCTGGTCACTTTCTGGTTTAATATCTCTTGGTGATGCTTTTTTGCCTCCATGATGTGACATCAGAGGATCCTGCCTCCTTTGCAGTGTTTGTTTGTTTGTTTGTTTCTCTGCAGATCCTCCAGCCTTCACAAGTTCCCTGTGGTCCCTCCAGTGGCCTGCTCCCCATTTCCCCCTTTGCCTTAGCAGGCCCAGTAAGCGCCCTCTACCTGCAAGTCCCTTACCTTCCATATTACCTTGAGGTCTCAGTTCTGTGGCTACTTTGATGGAAAGCCTTTGCCAGCCTGCGCCATTATGAAGACTGTCCAGAGAGCAGTTCTTGTCCAACCGTCCCCGCTCCCTTGCATTTGCCGAGAGTCTGGCAGGGTTTTACACCTGGTATGCACTCAGGGGACAGAATACTTAAGTGCATGGTTAGAAGCACTGACTTCAGAGCCAGACTGCTTGGTTCTAATCCCAGCTCTACCACTAGCTTTTTGATCTTGGCAAAGTCCTTACCATTTAGGTGCCTCTATTTTCTGTTCTGTAAAACTGGTATAATAACAGTGGTGGGGTTTAAGTGAGTTAATACTTGTAAAGCACTTTAGAAACAGGCTTAAGTTATACTAAGAGCTTAAATATTAGCTATAATTATTAGTTTTAGTTTCAGTTTTAGTTTGGACTCATTTAAAAGATACTTTCATTTTTGCTGGAGTTTTATTAAAGACTAGTATAATTTGAAACCCAATACTTAACAGTTCTTTATCTCTATTGAGGTTGGTATTGGACATCGATTTTAGCAGAAATAATTTATATATGACAAAAGGAAATACTTTTTGACAGAAAGGTAAGAAAACTCCTGGGGATACAGCCTTTTAACAGAATGTTGGAGACATTGTCCTATCAGTAGTTAGCTAGTTGATTTGGGGATATTTCCATATTTCTTCCATTTCAGAGATTATATTGACCTCACAGGAATTTTTCTTGCCGCTCTTTGGGTAAAGAAGAGATCAATATATATCAAGATTCCTCTTTGAATGCAAATCATCATGTATGTTTGCAAACCAGATCCACATAAAAGAGATGATTTTGAATGTAATTACATTTTTTGCATGAGTATTTTCATATCCTCTGGAAATATTCTGGTCTTGTGGGAAAAAACTTCTCATGATCCTTACCACACATTGAATTTGACATTAATGTGCTCTTCATTGATCCTTTTCTTCCTTTTTGTTTTTCTTCCAACATCCAAGTGATATTCCCCTGGGGATTAACAGTTCCAGCCTTTTCTTGGTTTCGCCACCAGGTGGGGGTACTGGCTCCTTTTTAAAGGCATGGAGAAACTGTTGAACTCTTACCTGGGAATGGCTTGGGGAGGCAGATGGGGTGAGTGTTAGATCTGAGAGAGTCTCGGGGTTTTTTTGCCTGATCTTGAGCTAATATGCTAATGGCTTATGTTTCGCAGATTTTGAGTAACTTAAATTTTACCAGAAATACATGGAAATCTACTTGGGAACAAGGGAGTCAAGTTTTTCTTGGAATATCTGGTCTGATCTTATGGCTCAGAAGAAACAATAAAGTTAGGTAACCTTGACCATTATGTTAAATATGTCTTATTTAAATAAAATAGAAATCAAGCTGTTAGAATTAAAACTATTCTTGGAGTTGAGAACTAGGGGAAAATTATGTGTACTGTGAACGCATTAATGTGTACTGTTAAAAAGCAGAGCGTGGATTCTTATTCTTAAGCGAGATGCTGGAACATTATTGGCTGTTTTAAGAAATAAATGCCTTAAAGAAATTATTAATTACATTTTTCTAGAATGAAAAGCAAATTTAAATTTCTTACTTTGAAACTATAGTGAGTCATATTAAGTTCCATTTTAAACTATAAAAAAACTAGAAAACAATCTTTTTTATCTTATAAGGAACGTAAATGTAGGTGGTCACACTGAATAATGAGTGATTTTCAGATTTACAGACACCAAATCAGAATCAGAAGTTAGAAGGTTCTTTGATAAATTTTCCTCTTGAACTTAAGTTTTAGATTTTAATGATTAATGAGGTTTTAGACTTTTTAAATATGATACCCCCCACCCCCAAACAACCTGAAAATACTGATAGTATGGAATTTTGATTCTCAGAAACAGTAACTTCATGTGTCCCTCTTACGCAATGTGAAATGGCAGCGCTGTATGTTCCACAGCCACCACCACCCAACTTAGATAACATGAAACTCGTTTCACGGCACCAACGAAGGGCCAACTATATTCCTCTTGTTTAAATAAATGGGTCACTTTAATGCAGTGTCTGAAGGAAGACAAGGGAGTGAGAGTTTTCTTGAAGTTTATGTGTTACAGTTTTCTTGGGTAGCAAGTACAAAAAGCCTGAAGCCTCAGCTCATTCTGTCTGTGGGTTTTATTTCTCACTGCAGCCCATTGTCTAGTTAACATATGGGGTGTGGTTTCAAGTTCATTACTAGAGCTTATAGGCTAAAATGCTTTGTGGGCTTGGCTATGACTTAAGTTGCCTTTAGGGAGGCAGCCAAAAACAGGGCTTGGGAGCAGACTGCTTTCCCTGTGTATGTGGATTCCCTAAGTAGTCAGTTTTTTTTCCCCCTCTCAACTATCAGCTGCTTTGGATATTAGTTTCATAGTAAGGATTCTGTCATTAAAGCAACATGAAGCAACTGTTTTCACAGGGGCACCAGGTTAGTACATAATGTTTTGAACTTTCTGCTGCATATGTCAGATTTTCTTTCTGTGCTCATGGGGCGATGATACGACAGCGTAGTATTTGTGCTGTTGCTGTGTTCTTTTAGAATATAATGTGAGTTCTTAGGTCTTACGGAGGTTTGAGGATTATGATTCTCCTTATATGCATTGTCTGATACTCTTAAATGAAAGTGGAAGCCAAGAAAAAATGACAATTACATGTTGTATTTGTACTCTAGAGATTTGTACTTGTTAGCATTTTTAGTTCCCTTTTCAGAATTACTTTCTTCGCGTCCTCTCATTGAAACTTCTAGGTGCAACTATGATTTTACGTATAGTTGATTTTACTTTGTTTTTTGACAGTAGGCAGCAGTGTGTTGCGCCTCAGCTAGCGGTGTTGTCCCTCCCACACTTTCATGCTTGCCTGATGCATGGTTTTCCCTTGGGCCTACTCCTTATAGTTACAGTGAACCAGAATATCATGTTTATTTTCTCTTTGAAAAGTCTAGCATTTTTTCTAGAATGCCTTATAAAATATTTATATGACAGCTGATGTGGGCAGACCATGCAGGTGGATTAAGCGAGACTGAATTCTTTCCTTCATTGTCACTGTTTTCATTGTTAAGTAATTCCTCAGAATCTGAGGTTACTCTGAAAGTAAATATGACTGTAAAAATGAAATATGCCTTGTTAGACATAAAAGTACTGCTAATAGTAATAAAATGAAATCAAGTCGGTAAAACTAAGTGTCACGAGACTATCTTCCTTATTTTCATTAACTTAAAATTCTAGAGAGTAGTTTTACCTTTGTTAATTTATTACCGAAGCAATCTGACATGAAATTGCTCTATAAGACGGATTCGATTTGATGAGGTTTTAATGTTTACAACACTTTATAAAATATACTTGATTTTATGTTATGTTAAGTATGCTTTAGTTCAAGGTAATGTACTAGTGTTTTAAAATATACTTCTCTGCTTCTATGATTGCCATTTTAAGTCTCCTCTTTTTTTCCCACTGAGAAGTACTGTGTTTCAGAAAGGGTCTGCTCTCTCATGTTCTTCTCTGTTTAAAAAAATAAAGTCGAGGGAGAAAGGAGACAGATGGCAATAGATACTTAAAAATAGTCTTCGAGGTGATTTGCTAAATTTAAAGGATCTCAGTTCTCCTTTCTGCTGTGGTTGAAGTTGTAAAGTTATGGCTGCATGCCCTTTCAGGATTATAAAACTGACTGTACTTTATACTTCCAAGACACAGTTGTGTAGTCATGCTATCGCCCCTGCCTTTGCAGGTGTTTTCTTTAATGGTGAATCTGCTAGGTCATTTTAGCTTTCCAAAAAAAAGAAAAAAAAAAAGCAAAGATTGTTATGATTTGCTTAATATATGCTATTACTCCATAGATGTGCTATTAATTATTAAAGGCTATTAATTTAAATTTTAAAGGAAGACTACTGCCAATCTGATTGTAGCTGCCCCATGATTATAAAGAACAATGTTAAGACATTTTACTCATTATTTGTTTGTGCTTATCTTGCACAGATGGAAGTCTTAAAAAGGTCACATAAAGCTCATTTTTATATGGTAGATCTCGGTTTCTGTGTCCCCAGTGCTTCATGGCCTTTTCTTGTAGAGATACTAACAAAACAAAATACCACTGGTTAGAAACAGAAATAAACAATGAGACAAAGGATAGAAGAAGAGGAGAAATTCCCTAAAAAAACAAATTTTTAGGGTTTTTCCAAAGAACGTTCATTAAAATAAGTTTCCTCCAAACATGAAGTGAAAAAAGACTGCACAGTAGAGTGTTCAAAATCTGTAGTTTTTGGATAAAATATCTAAGCAAATCTTATTCCCGATTCTAGATTTAGAACACACATCACAATTCTTGTTCTTACCTTGTCAGACTGGTTTAGTTTTGTTACATCTCTGCCTTTTGGCAAAAATCAAATAGAGACAGACATTTTCTCATTTTCTCTAATTTTAACTTAAGCTTTGAGTTGATTAATTTTTATCTAACAAACTTTCTCGTTAATGTTCAAAGCACTCTAGAAGTCTCATTAATCTCAGGAGGCTTGTGAACCTGGATGATGATCCAGAAGTATGTGATCTTTATTTTCTTTTAAAATGAATTTGAGTTTTGACTTTGGAGATAAATCCTTAGGTAGACTATTTCAACATGAATTAGCCCAAACCTGAAACATCAGGAAAATTGAATGGCAAGTAGAAGATAAAGCTCTCTGAAGAAAGAAGTGAATAAGTAGGAGTAATTGTGATACTAGAAGTGGTTTTCTGACCACCGAACCTTGATAAGTTTTCACCTATTGGCCATTTCCACTCTTACCCCAGATTACTCTCGTTCCCTCCCACGGTCTTGATCTTCACTGTGTATGTTTTGGGAGGTGTTGGCTCTTGACCTGCAGTTTCTGCCTTGTCAGATTTATGAAATGGGTCTATGGCCATGCCACCCTGAACAAGCCCGATCCCATCTGATCTTGGAAACTAAGCAGGATTGGGCCTGGTTAGTACTTGGATGGGAGACCGCCTAGGAAGACCAGGTGCTGTAGGCATAAAAAATAAAAAATAATAAAGGATTGTAAGCTGACAGGGCCCTTGCAATCTCTGTGGTCAACCAAGGGTTGCCTTTCCTAAAAAAAAATAATAAATAGATTTATGAAATGGTTACAATGAGCAGTGCCACCTGGGTATTTTCTCGCCTAACCCCTGGATTCTTGCTCTTGACCCTGCTCACTGAAGGTCCCGGTGTGCATGCACCTTGTGCTTATGTATCAGGAAATGGGGACAGAAAGCGGGGGAGATGAGGATGTCATCCACCTCAGAAATTCACTATTTTAGTCATGATAGTAAATACAAACTTCCCAGTGGGGCTGCCAAGGCTGAGGACAGATTTTACTCCAGGACTGATTTGATCACAAACCTCCTTGGTTCCTACTTTCATTCTGAAGAATATAAATTAAGTTTTATCTTCTGGCATTTCTGGGGGCGATGGTTACAGTAGTTATGGCAGGAGTAGCAGAGGCAGTGGGAATAATACCAATAAGAGTAATAATAACTAGCGCTCAAAAAACATTTCCTAAGGGCAGTGCTGTTTTAAGCCTCTTATTTAATCCATAACAACCCTAAGAAGTAAATTGTCTTTATTATCCCCATTATACAGTTGAGGAAACTGTCCCAGAAAGGTTATGTAATCTGTCCCCGAGTCCTAGCCGCTAGAAAGCAACAGTGCCTCAGAGGGGTGCTGTGGTGGGGAAAAAAAAATGACATGAGAGGTTGATGTTCTTGGGAAATATAATCTGATGTTTATTATTAATGAGAAGCAGCCATGTAAATACTGATGGCTGTGCTGTTCTTCATACTCAAAGTTGCTTCCGTTGCCTTACTGGCAACTAGTAAGGCATATCCTTTGTGTTCTCATTGCATTGGGTGGGTGGCGAGTTTGTCCTCTGCTTTCTCACCTGATCTGCTGGTGACCAATGGCAAGAACCTGGTGAATGAAGGCAGGATATGGAGGTTGCCCATGCTCAGTAAATGAGACCAATGTTAACCAGTCCACGTGGAGAATAAGCCAATCGCATTGAAAACTCTTAACTACTAGATAAGCTAAAGTTGGAACTTTTGAGGCTTTTTAAGGCAAACATAATAAAACCTCTAAGGCTGGGAACTTCTGATAGTTTAGCTTGAGTTTGGCCCGTATGTGTGCCCTCTTTATTCCTG